TTACGCACATGTGGGGGGATCACTGCGATCAATCCAAGGCGGGGTCATCGGAAAGAAACTTCCGAGAAACTTCCTTTCGATAAGTCGGGGAAAATATCCCCACTCTCCATAAAGTCTCGAAGTTTCGATCAGTACAAAGTTTCGAAGAAACTTCGTCTCGATAATGCGGGAAGGGGGGGGATTACGCACATGTGGGGGGATCACTGCGATCAATCCAAGGCGGGGTCATCGGAACGAAACTTCCGAGAAACTTCCTCACGATAAGTCAGGGTCCACACAGTCGATACTCTGTTAAGTCAGGGTCCACTAATAGCCTAGTCTGTTACACTGTACTCAAAATCAGGGATAGCTAAACTATTACTCTGATTGGATCAGGGCTGGAAATTCAATAACTCTGAAATTTCAGTCTCCACGAAGTGGAAAGCCTGAAATCACCCCGAAATCAGGGTAATTACCCTGATAAAATCAGCCCTGATGTTAAGCACTTGCGTACCATATATGCGGCAGAAAATCACTGATTTTTTCAGGCTGACTGAATTTCATATACCGGTACTAGTGGCTCCCCTGCTGCAGTAACTGTACAGGCATAGATAAATAGAATCAGACATTAAAGCCCTCGCTTCGCAAGCACTGTTTGTGAGCCTCGATCCACTTGGTGCAAGCCTCCTCCCCGTGCTCCACAATGCACTCATCCCTCAGCTTCTTGGTCGTCGGGCACGCACAGCAGATCTTCTTCTTCGGCTTCTCTTGCTTCTCTTGTGCTGCTGCCTCCACCTTGCCTGCTGCTGGCTCAGCCATTACAGGTGAAGACATGATGCCGCTTTGATGGAGGACCAAACTGGCGGGCATAATGGGAGGGCAGGGAGAAGGGGAACATTGGGCGTCAGTGCGGGTCAGTGGGGGTCACTTGTCCCTCAGCTTCTTGGTCGTCGGACACGCACAGCATATCTTCAACTTCGGCTTCTCTTGCTTCTCTTGCGCTGCTGCCTCCGTCTTGCCTGCTGCCTCAACCTTCGCAGGTGAAGATGACATGGCGCTGTTTTGACGTAAGACCAAAGTGGAGGGAACAGCAGGAGGGCACAGTGGGAAGGCAGGGTAAGGAAAGCAACCAGGTCAGTGTTCCTTCTCTGTGTAACTTGCCTGCTGCCCCTAATTTCGCAGCACGGGCCATCGGCGGGACTGGCAGGGCAGGGAAAATTCGTCAGACCATGAATGGCAGGACCGGCAGGGCAGCGGGAGGCCCTGAAAATTTGTCAGACAAGCGGCATAATCTTTTTTTGGGTACCTTTCTCTCCCTGTAAAGACTATTACGTGGGATATGCTCACTAGAGGCTGAAGAAAAGGTTTGGAAAGAAAGGGGGAAGGGCGGGGAGAGGTAGCTGAGAATTCAAGACATCGGCAAATAGTGAGTGGGAGACCAACCAGGGCTTTGAATCACCCAGAACTGCTCCTCCTCCCCATTTTGCCTGCTAGATCTCTGGAGATGGGGGAAGAGGAAAGGGGGAGGGGGAGGGGGGGGAGGGGAGATGAAGGAGAAGGGGACACAAGTGAGAGGAGCGGACGCGTGTGAGAGGAGGAACCTTCAAAGAGAACAAAGAGGAGAAGTTGGCAGTGGGGAGCAAGTGAGGCACTTTCTATATTCTCAAGAGTGACTTCCAAAGGGCAGCGGAGGGAGCGAGGCATGACGGAGTGGAACAACGGACTGCTTGGGTGCCGCCGATCGGACAGATGCGCACGAGATCAAGCGACGGAGTTTGATTGTGCGACTCTAGTAGCGTTTTCGACAGTTTGAAAGCTAGCCACAGTCGGATCGTGGGTAATCAGCCGCGCCTTTCAAGATAAGAGATGGGCCGAGCCGCGCCTACCAACCTCCGATCGTCGCACCTCTGTTATCCGCTGTGGCTAGCTTCAGAGCCGCGCCGATGCGTTCGGAACGCTTTTGAGTCGACTCAAAAGCTTCAGCGCCGCGCTGACGCGTTCGAAACGCGGAAATTCAAACAGATCGAACGAGAGGTGATCACAGGTGCCAATCAATCCGCACCGTTGATCCTACTGCCAATCAGTGATTGAGATTGCGGGAGAACAGCGGGAAGTGCTGAAAGAAGTGCCAGCGGAAAAGCGTGAACGCGGAGCTTAAACCAACGTGGAGAAAAACAATCTGCCAGGAGTCCGTCGAATTCGAGGCCTAAGAAGGAGAGTCATGCAGCCTGAACGTGATTATGCTAATGAGACCTGTCACCGCTGGTGTTGGGTGCTGCTGTAATGTGTGTCCATAGGCTCCTATCGTACATGTACAATTCTTGCTGTACGATTCCAGCAAAGCACCAGCCCATGTGCGCGTTCCAGTGTGCCACACTACGCGTCTACTTTGTCGCCAACCTTGTCGCGAAGGGAGCATAAGGCTGTGCGAGAAATGTTGCGAACTTGTTCTGAATGAAACCGTGCAACCGTACAACTCGAGATGTGGGTCTCGCCTTTGCTGGTGCGAGAAGTCTTGTTCGGCAGGCGAATTGTGACCAGCGAGACGAACTTGACGAGACCCATCGCATTGTGCTGGCACCTGACTGTCGCGACTTGGTGCTGGTTTCGCAGAGACACTGACAATCGACCACGTCAGTGTGTGGTCGCTCAATCGGGGGAATGGAAAGTACAACGGTCGCCCGTCGCTCGCGAAAAATGTCCAAGCAGTTTGGTCGACCAAGCTTCCGAACATGAACACAGCTCGCTGCAATGTTACACGCCCTCAGATTCATACTGCAGGCAGATTGTGTGTGGAGGAATCTGGAAAGACAAGGTTCTATTGTGACATCAATTGATTGTCAGACAGACAGACATTGCGGCTTCAAGTCCTGCTTGTTAGGGTTGGTTCGCCCAACCACGGAACCTACGGCGAAAGCTTCTACGACGGCGGAATGACGGCGAAATGGAAGCACGTGGATGATTCTAGGTGAAACGGTGGAAATCGGCCTACGGTGGATATTGGAAGCTACGGCGTGAGAAGCGGGAGAGAGATCGGGAAGATACTAGAGAAATGGAGGAGAAGAGTAGAGAAGTATCGAGAATGAGATCGACGGGGGAAACTGTGGTACGAGCTCGAGGCGTGTTCGAGAAGGTTCCAGATTCGGACTTGAGAAGTGTTCGGTGCATTCAGTTCGGTTCCGTGTGCGACTCGGGGTGAAACGAGGCGCACGGGGTTACTTGGGAAACAAGTGAAGTTACGAATCGCATTTTGTGACTTGCTTGACTATAAAACTGCTTGTACTCATTCTGGAAAACACAACTTGGAGATTATGAAAATTGCTGAAGTGTGTATTGACAACTTCAAGCAGAGCTGCGCATATCATTGGATTCGTGAGATCGTGGAGAACACGATAAGCAATAGCAAGTAGACTATTGCCGACTAAGGTGTTTACGATCCTAAGAACTGGTATCAGAGCTTGGCGAACGGGCGCGTCGATCGCGGTGAATTCACTTGGTGCGCTAAGTGAAATTAGTGGAGAAGAGGAGTCGTTCACGCCTACGCCATGGGAGACGAGGCGAGTTCGGGTTCCAGTGTGAGTCTTGGAGACCCGCAGTTGAAGGCTCTTCTCGAGGCCCTTGAGAGTGGCCGATTGGTGGCGAAACCGACGATCGGGCTCAGTGAAGCCCGGCGCTTCAACGGAAGCAACTACAACGTGTGGCGGAAGAAGTTTATTCGGAGGGCAGAGGAGGTTGACCTCTTGCCGTACTACCGTCCCGACGAGGAGACGATGGAGGGAGTTGCGCCATCCCCGACGGATACGAAGGAGAAAATAGCGGCGTTCAAAAAACAAAGTAAGCAAGCGTTCTTTCAGCTTTGTCACTCAGTTGCCGATGGAATCGCGGTGGATTTGGACCAGTTTGCAGGGGAGCTGAACTCTGCACAGAAAGCGTGGGAGTACCTGGAGTCCACGTACATGGGCACGAACGATGTCAACAAGAAGGCGATTAGGAAGCAACTGCTGATGCTGAGCATGGAGAAAGGCGAGAAAATCATCACCTACATCAACAGGGCGAAAAACTACAACGACGACTTGCGGGTGATGGGAGCCGCGGAGACGGAGCACGAGATGATTGACTATATCATCCAAGGCCTTCCTAAGGAGTGGGAATCCGACATCGGTATGTTTACGTACCAACCGCCGGAGAGTTTGACGAAGCTGCAGGAGATTCTGCAATCGCTTGAGACGGTGAAGGAGATGAGGAAAAAGAAAGCGGCAGCAGCAGCTACGGATTTCGACAAGGAGAGGCCGGCTTTGGTGAATGCAACGAAGGCGTTTGGAGCGTGCTACCAGTGTGGAAAGAGGGGGCATAAGGCGATAAACTGCTACGAAAATCCGCGAAGCAGAAACTACAAGGGCAAAGCGGTGGAGAACGAGAAAGGAGAAAATGGGGGAGCAGAGTGGCAACAGAAACGAGTTTTTGGCGGCAAGTGCGATTATTGTGGGTGCTATGGGCATCGTGCCGCAGAGTGCTACTCCAATCCGAACAGCAGGAGCTACAAGGGTCCGTCGCAGCAGAGGATTGTGGCGGGTAAGGCGAATGTAGCGGAAGCCGAAAAGGAGGATGTGATTTTGGGAGGAGCGCATCGTGCGAACGTGGTGCGTTTACCGAAGGATGTTCGTCAGACGGACGGACGTGAGAAGACGGCATGGTTCATGGACAGCGGATGCACGCGTCACATGACCTTCAAGTCAGATTGGATGGTGAATATGAGGGAGTCGAGTGAGGATTATATACTGCAAGGTAACAGTGGGAAGTTACCAGTGACAGGAGAGGGTGACGTGGTGCTGCAAAGTCCGTATGGAGAGGTGAAACTGGAGAATGTGCTCTTGGTTGAGGATTTGAAGGTGAATTTGATGAGTCAGTCACAGCTTGATGAGTTGGGGTGCAAGATATTTTATGACAAAGGCGAGGTTACAGTGTTTGGTCCTGAGTGGGAGAAGTATGCCGATGGATACTTCAGTGACGGGTTCTATGAGATGAACTTGATAGCGATGAACGACAAGGATGAGATCTATGAGGATCCTGAGTCTACTGAGGTTGATGAGAGCGAGGACACGGATGATACGGGAGCGAGTGTGGAGGCAGCAGTGAAGCAGGAAGAAGAGATAGTCACCATGGAGGCAGCAGCGGTGAATGATGGAGATGGAGATGGTGTCAACACTTTTGCAGCAGCGGTCGTGGTTAAAGATGAAGGAGTAAATGCGAAGTGTGTGGGAGTTGAAGCTGTGAAAGGGGGCATCATGGTGAAGGGATCAACGGCGAATGCAACTGCAAAGGGGCGAGTGCTTATGAAAGAGGAACACGTTGAGGGGTACAAGACCCGAGAGGTGTTGGGTGCTAAGATTCCGAGGAGAAGCGAGAGGCTTAAGAAGATGCCTCATGGTTTGGATATCAAGGCGCTCAACTTCAAGACACGTAAGCAGAGGTTCAAGGTGCAGGAGCTGCAGGGGAGCGTGAAGCCGACTTAGACCCTGTGAATGCTACAAGGAGCAGGAAAGCAGTGCGAGTGGTGTTCGTGGTTGACGAACCACAGGGGAGATTGTTAGGGTTGGTTCGCCCAACCACGGAACCTACGGCGAAAGCTTCTACGACGGCGGAATGACGGCGAAATGGAAGCACGTGGATGATTCTATGTGAAACGGTGGAAATCGGCCTACGGTGGATATTGGAAGCTACGGCGTGAGAAGCGGGAGAGAGATCGGGAAGATACTAGAGAAATGGAGGAGAAGAGTAGAGAAGTATCGAGAATGAGATCGACGGGGGAAACTGTGGTACGAGCTCGAGGCGTGTTCGAGAAGGTTCCAGATTCGGACTTGAGGAGTGTTCGGTGCATTCAGTTCGGTTCCGTGTGCGACTCGGGGTGAAACGAGGCGCACGGGGTTACTTGGGAAACAAGTGAAGTTACGAATCGCATTTTGTGACTTGCTTGACTATAAAACTGCTTGTACTCATTCTGGAAAACACAACTTGGAGATTCTGAAAATTGCTGAAGTGTGTATTAACAACTTCAAGCAGAGCTGCGCATATCATTGGATTCGTGAGATCGTGGAGAACACGATAAGCAATAGCAAGTAGACTATTGCCGACTAAGGTGTTTACGATCCTAAGACTGCTCATTCGTGTGAGAGGCATTTCTTGGATAGCCTTCTCTCTAAGCACGAGCCGCATTTCGTAGTAACAGGGACGCCCTTGTCGTTCTGTTAATAACGAGTCCGTTCCACCTTGCTACCCCGGGTAACTTGCTGAACAAACGTAAGAAATACAACTTTACCTTGTCTCTACTCCCGTAGACACCACCTGGATCCGCCAGCCACCGGGTGCTGCGGACGACTGAACTCACTCATCATAGCGTCCGACTCACTCTTGCTTCTGAAAAAAAAAAAGCCTGTTAAATCCGCTCGAGCCGGAAGTCCTTCCGATCCACCCTCATTCCGTCATTTATATCCGACCGTCCGTGGGCCTTTTCTTCGCGCATCTGCTTCTTCGCTCGCTCGCTCTTCTCTCGTGTCTCCAGCGTCATATGTTCGTGCATGAAATATGCTCCTGAGATTCCGCAATTGTAGCGCCTGTGGGCTGTGTCAATGGGCATTCCGCTGCGCCAAATAACACCCTCGTTTTGACCCAGTGGTTAGCGAGGTGTTATAGCAATCCCCATCATCCCCCTGTTCCCTTCTTTCTCCGCCTCACTTCGATACAACCAGAATGGCGGCCAATGACGCGTTGCCAGCTGTCCTGGTGGTGAACGACGACGGGATCGAGGCTCCGGGAATCAAGGCGCTCGTGGCGGTGCTCGGCTCGGCTGGCTTCTGCCGCGTCTTCGTGTGCGCGCCTGACGTGTAAGTCGCCTTGCCCCCCCTGTGCTGAATCCGCACCCTGCCTTCACTCTACCCCTCTCACTGACTCGGCTGGCTTCTGCCGCGTCTTCGTCTGCGCGCCTGACGTGTAAGTCGCCTTGCACCCACCGCGCGCCTGACGTGTACGGCCACTTGCTCCCTCTTTGCTGCCTGATGTGTATGTTGCCACGGGCTCAATCCGCGCCCCATGGGCTCAATCCGCCCCCTACGGGCTCAATCCGCTCCTGACTGTACGAGAATTGGACATTCTACTGCCTGACGTGTGCGGCCCCGTGCACTGCGCACTGCCCCCTCAGTGCGCCTCACGTGTACGGCCCCGTGGGGCCGGGCCGCTCTGTGTTCCTCCTTCCGTACCGTACCCTCACGGGCGTGCCAGGGAGAGGTCAGCGCGGGCGCAGTCCATCCATCATTGTCCGGGAGACGCTAGAGGCGAACCTGGTGGAGGACTATAAGGGGCTCATTCTGAATCTAACCTGTGTCTTCACTGTGCCGCTCTGTACCCGTCTGTACCCATCTGTGCCCCTTTGTGCCCCGTGTCAGGGAGAAGTCAGCGTGTGCGCAGGCCATCACCATTCGGGAGACACTTGAGGCGAAGCTGGTGGAGGACTATGAGCGGCACGTTTTGAACTTAACCTGTGTCTTCACCATGCCGCTCTGTACCCGTCTGTACCCATCTGTGCCCCTTTGTGCCCCTTTATGCCCCTTTGTGCCCTTTTATGCCCCTTTGTGCCCCTTTGTGCCCCTTTGTGCCCCTTTGTGCCCCTTGGTGCCCCGTGTCAGGGAGAAGTCTGCGTGTGCGCAGGCATCACCATCCATGAGACACTCGAGGCGAATCTGGTGGAGGACTATGAGCGGCACACATTCTGAATCCAAGCACTCAATGCCAACCCGTGTCTTCACCATGCCCCTCTGTACCCGTCTGTACCCCTATGATGCCCTCTGTTCCCCGTGTCAGCGAGAAGTCCATCACCATCCAGAAGACACTTGAGGCGAATCTGGTGGAGGACTATGAGGGGCACATTTTGAATCCAACCCGTTTCTTCACCGTCTCTGTACCCGTCTGTACCAATCTCTACCCGTCTGTGCCTCTCTGTACCCCTCTATGACCCGCACCAGGGAGAGGTCAGCGTGTGCGCAGTCTATCACCATCCGGGAGACGCTCGAGGCGAATCTGGTGGAGGACTATGAGGGCGCTGCTGTGGCATACTCGCTCACAGGTGCGTGCTGCTGTTCCTGCTCCTTCTTAGCTGTCTCTCCTGATCATTCACAACTTAAACACCCTGTACGTCCACACACTGCGCTTCAGCCCATTCGTTGTTGGTCTTTTCTTTTTGTATGAAGAATGTCGGTTCGAAAAAGCTTGGAATGAATTTCTGTCCCCCCTGTCTGCTCCCAACAGGCACATGGGCAGACTGTGCGTCCATGGGCCTCTCAGGTGACTTGTGAGTCGACTCAAAGTCAAGCCAATCAGAATCCGTTCCCTTGCTCCCTCCTGCGTGCTCCCAATCCCCACAGGCACACCGGCAGACTGTGCGTCCACGGGCCTCTCAGCTGATTTTTGAGTTGTCTCAGAAGTCAAGACGTTCAGAGCCGTTCTCTTTTCTCCTCCCCGCTGCCTTCCCTATACAGGCACACTGGCAGACTGTGCGTCCACAGGCCTCTCGATTATTTTTTGAGTCGTCTCAGAAGTTAAGACGTTCAGAACTTTTCCCTGTTCTCCTCCCCCTGCCTTTCCCCAACAGGCACACCGGCAGACTGTGCGTCTATGGGACTTTCTGGCCAGCTCTTCAAGGGCATCAAGCCCCTCCTGGTATGCGGTGGTTCAAAGCGGTGCAGCGAGGCTCATGTGGTCAAAACACGGTCAAAGTAGTTTCAAGCATGGTCCAATTGCTCAACTGTGTGTTTCCTGGTGTTGTTGCTTCATGCGTGTCCTCAGGTGCTGTTGTCTTCTCAAAGAACCACTATCGTATCCGTCAAAATCAAATCGCTCTGTTTTGTGAATCTTGCTTTGTTGCACATCCTTTTCTCTTCTAGTCGGAAATCTCTTCTCTTTTCTCCTGATCCTTGTCTCTCTTGATCCTTTTCATCCATCGCATGCATGTTGATGGCGTGTGTGAGTGAGGTCAGGTCATCAGCGGTATCAACAAGGGTGCCAACACAGGCCGCCAAGTGTGAGTTACTGTCTGTGTTGCCGCCTCGGCACCTGCTCAGTCACATCCCATCCCTGTGCTCACAGCATGCTCCATCCACCTTCCTGTTACCCCATACCACGGCATCCACCTTCACCAGCAGAAGCACCCTTCTGAGCCATATCCCTGTGTTCTCTCACACCCTCGTTCGTTTCTTCCTGTGCTTGCATTGCATGCATCTGCTTCATGGAGTTCACCACGCATGTTGGCAACTCAGCATCCCCCCTCACCTTGTTCTCCAGTCCAGGCACCCCTCACTGCTCCTCCTGTGCTTGCCTGGTCCTCTTCCACACGTTGAATCTCTTTTCTCCTGCCACTGCCATGTCCGCAGCATCTATTCAGGGACGGTGGCAGGTGCAAGGGAGGCAGTGATTCAGGGCGCTCCAAGCCCCTTAGATGCTCCTCTTGTGCTTACATGGCCCCCTTCCACACGTTCTACCGTCCCTACCCCTACCCACCACGGAACCGCCCTGCCAACAGCATCTATTCCGGCACGGTGGCAGGAGCAAGGGAGGCCGTCATTCAGGGCGCTCCAGGCATCTCCATCTCCCTCGACTGGTCTGTCCGTGCCTTTGTCTTCTTTCAATGCTTGCATGCTTATCTTCTTCCTCTGGATGCTGCTTTCATGTTGCATGGGACGGGACGGGACCAACCAAGCGCTTCGCCCCTTGCTATGACAAAGTGGTTGTCACTATAGTGACTTATCACCTTTTGTCCCTTTATACTGTGCCCACCCACCCCTCCCATCCTTTCTTCCTTTCCCAACCCCTCGCTCTCCATCAGGAACTGCCTGCATTAAACACTCACACTCTTCGTGGGTTCCACTCACACTCTTCTTTGGTTCCACTCACACTCTTCGTTGGTTCCACTCACACTCTTCGTTGGTTCCACCTTCCATCCCATCCCATCCCATCCCATCCCGACCCACCACATTTAATCCACCATGTCATTCCTTCCACTCCGTCCCCTCCTTCACATGCCTTTGGGCACACACTCACCAGGACCGCTGCAAGCACTGACGCCCTCTTTTCTCCTGCCGCTGCCACGTGTCTTCCTCTCATTCGCTGCGTTCTCGAGGCAGCAACCACTGGTCAGCTATCCAGCAGCGGGGGGGACCCGCTGCTGCTGAATGTGAACGTGCCCCTTGACCCCGTCAAGCCCAAGGTGTGTGCTGCACCTGAGGCACGGTAAAATTAACCACAGCGATACGTTCTGGTGCTACAGTGTTCTGGTAGTAGCAGCAGAGACCTCTGCTGCTCAACGTGAATGTGCCCCTCGACCCCGTCAAGTCCAAGGTGTGTTCTTTTGGCACCCATGTATGGTATAGAATGCTGCACTGGTAGCACCAGTGGGGGGGACCCTCTGCTGCTGAACGTCAACGTGCCTCTCGACCCTGTCAAGTCCGAGGTGTGTTTTTCTGCCACCCATATATGGTATGGAATGCTATGGCATGCCATTCTGGTAGCAGCAGCGGCGGGGAACCTCTGCTGGAAGGAATGGTATGGTGTGTCCGGCCGGCAGTGCCATGCAAGGGTGGCTTTCTCCTGGACTCACACTGCCAGGAGGCGAAACGGTTACTGCAGTGCACTACTGGCATGAAAGTGCCTCTGCACTGACTCTCAGTGTTCCCTGGCATGGCTTGAAGCTCGCCCAGCAGGGCCATGCAAGGATGGCCTTCCCATGAATGCTGCTCTGATTCCCCCTTTCACGCTGCCCCTCAATCCTCAATCGTCCATCCTCTCATCCCTTTCATCCTCGGCAGGGCTTCAAACTCGCCCAGCAAGGCCAGGGACGGGTGGCCTTTTCCTGGACGCACATTGCCAAGAAGCGCACCGGAGTGCAGCTGGCAGGGATGAGTGGTGCTCTGAATATCCCTTTGCTACTCGTTCCTCCATCCTCTATCCTCCATTCCCGTAATCCCCAACAGGGCTTCAAGCTGGCCCAGCAGGGCCATGGGAGGGTGGCCTTCCCCATGCACATCGCCAAGAAGCGCACCGGTCACCAGGGTGCAGCTCGCAGACATGAATAGTGTTGTCGATCCTCTTTTCAACTCCCTGAATCCCCAGCAGGGCTTCAAGCTCGCCCAGAAGGGACAATCAAGGGTCGCCTTCCCCTGGAAGCACACCGACAAGAAACGGACACTGCTGGCAGGGTCATGCCGCCCTGCTGGCAGGGTGCACTGCTGGCGCGAAAGGTGGCTCTGCCCTGAATCCCCATTTCAACCCTCTTTCCCTCGCAGGGCTTTAAGCTCGCCCAGCAAGGTCACGCGAGGGTGGCCTTCCCCTGGACGCACATCGCCAAGAAGCGCACCGGAGTGCAGCTCGCAGGCATGGGGGGAGCAGCGGCAGGGGGCAGGGGACTTTCGGGCATGATGGGGGGACGGGGGCTGCCGGGGATGATGGGAGGGAGGGGGCTGCCTGGTATGGTGGGAGGGAGGGGCCTCCCGGGCATGACTGGGCCCCCCGCGGTGTCGCTGGCTGAAATCGGATCGGTTGCCTCTGCTGCTGTGAGTGCTCATCCCTATGCTTATGAGGTGACTGTGAGTCAACTCAAAAGGCTGCCTGGGTATCACTGGGCCTGCTACGGTCTCTCTGGCTGAAATCGGATCGGTTGCCTCTGCTGCTGTGAGTGCTCGTCTGTGTTCTTAGTCGTTTAGTCGTAGGTGTGCAAATGAGTCGCTGACAAGACTGCAAAAAGTCTGATGTGTTTTATGATTACCATGCTGGCATGGAATGGTCCATGTGGCATAGCCTGCACGGACGGCATGACTGGGCAGCCTTACTGTCAAAGGACCTCAAAATCTCATCCCTCTCAACTCCACGCGCCCCTCTCACCCCCGCGAACCCGTCACAACCCGACGCACCCCTCTCACCCCCACGCCACTGGCTCTCCCTCCCACAGGGCACAGCACAGTCCAGAGTCCTGGCCGTCCACAAAGCCTCACTGTTACCTTAATAGTCTCAACCACACATCCCCTATCTCTCCCTCGCACAGGGCGCAGCGCGGTCCAAGACTCCTGGCGAGGAGAGCAAGGAGGATGGTGGGGACGAGCCGTGGCAGCCGATGCATAAGATGCACTTCAGGCACGAGGTGAGCTGCAGTTGACCATCGTTGACCATCGTTGACCATCGTTGACCATCGTTGACCTTCATTGACCATTGTTGGCATGAGGCAGCTGCTGCCAAGTGGGTGGGACGTGCTTCACAAGGATCCCGCCTTTGGCTCCGCTGCTCTCGCAGCCTCTAACATGACCTGGCTGTCAAAGAACCTCAGTAGTACCACCCACCAAATTCCTCCCCACCCCCTCTCTCCCTCTCAGCCAAGTGGGTGGGACTTGCTTGACAAGGATACCGCCCGGCCTTTGAATCCGCTGCTCTCGCTCTCGGCTATGAAAAGCCTCACAAAACTCATCCTTCTCACCTCCACGCACCCCTCTCTCTCCCTCCCAGCCGAGTGGGTGGGACGTTCTGGACAAGGACCCCGCCTTTGACTCCGCTGCTCTCGCACTCGGCTATGTGAGTGGTGATGGGTGTGATGGGGTTGAGAGTGGTGATGGGTGCGCAAGTGGTGATGGGTGCGCAAGTGGTGATGGGTGTGTGAGTGGTGATGTGTGTGAGAGTGGTGATGTGTGTGAGAGTGGTGATGTGTGTGAGAGTGGTTATATCTATGCGAGTGGTGATAGCTGATAGCTGTGCTAGTGGTGATGCCTCTTTCAATCACGCTTATTTTGAGTTAACTCAAAATGCATGCCCTCCTCTCTCCTCTCTTGCTCTCCTCTCTTGCACTCCACTCTTGCTCTCCCCTCCTGCTCTCTTTCTTCATCTTTCCCTAAACCCTTATGATGCCTGCTTTACTGCCCCTTTCTCTCTACCTGCTGCACCTTACACTGCACTACCTCCATCATCGCAAACACTGCGTTGACTATTGAGTTGACTATTGAGTCGTCTCAAAAGTCATCTATGCTGTGCTGCCCCCTTCTCTCTACCTGCTGCACCTTACACTGCACTGCCTCCATCATTGCAAACACTGCACATCCATTTCCCTGCAGGTAGCAGTGTCCTCTCACCATCCAACCTCTAAAATCAAAACCCGTCTTCTCCTTCTAACCTCTCCACTCTCCTCTCTGCTCTCTCCTCACTCCTCTCTCCTCTCCTCTCTCCTCTCTCCTCGCTCCTCTCCTCACTCCCCTCTACTCTCACCTCTCTCCACTCTCCCTTCTCGCGCCTCCTTCCTCTCGCTCCTACCATGCCACCCATGGTGTAGGTGACTCTCTCCCCTCGTCATTTTGTAGGTGCCTTATAACTACTCCCTGCCCTCGCTTTTACCGTGCGACCCATGGTGCAGGTGACAGTCACGCCGCTCGCCATCACTGCATCCATCGACATCCAACCTCGGCTCAATGAGGACCTGGCATGGCTCGCACCGCTGCTGCCGCACGATGCCTGACCAGCCCCTTGGATTGCCAGTCCCTGAGTTTTCTTCATTGGATTGCCTGAGCTGTTGGACCAGAACAGAACTCAGCTTTGTAAGTTTTGTAACATGAACAATTGACAAGTACGTTTATTTTGTCGACAGCATTAGACAGACGCAAGTTGCCATCTGCTGGGAAAATGCTAACTCAATATTTAAAATAAAAACTGAAAACTTGCACGACTCCATGGCCCAATGGATAAGGTGCTGGTCTACGGAACCAGAGATTCTGGGTTCGATCCCCAGTGGAGTCGTTCGGTGGCTAGCAAAGGTATCCTACACAAAAGAATTGATTTGAGGTCTTCACGGGTTTTTTGTGGCAGGACTTGCGGTTGAACACGGTTGTATACAATGTAAAGCGGCTAGTTTTCTTCACCTCTTTTAACCGCTGCACGTCGGCCCGAACAGTGTCGCACAAACTGTAAACGAAGGAAGTTTCATTAATCCCAAATGCGGTCCATCCTCTCCAACGGAAGTATTTGTGTTTTGCATGGGTCCTGGAAGACGGGATTCATGGCTTCAAAGTCAATTTTCCCTTGACCATCTCACATCCACTCCAACCATTACAGTACCAGTTTTTGCGTGGGCTCCGAATACGCGATTCATCCTATTAGCGTCAGCTTTCTCTTGACTCATCTCCCACGAAATAATCGTTATTGTCCATACGCGATATCGAGTCTGCACGCGGCCTACGAAAACGGCCAATGGCGGCCGAGCCCCGATAGCATCCAAAGGAACGCGGCGGCGTCTCCCAAAAACGCGCTCTCTGTCTCAGAGTATAGCGGAATTGTGGATTAGGTCAAAGGGGAGGGGGTACAAGGAGAGTGTCGAGTGAAATTGTGTACCCCCTAGGACGTAACTCACTACAGACTAAATGCCTATACCAGTATAACATAACTTTGACACACCCCCATAGCCTAAGTGAGGGGCATTAAAACGAGCAAGACAAGATCAGTCTGTTGGAATTAAGGTTAATTAGGGTTGCTCCAATAAACATATGTAGTGATACATCTACACTATAGTAGTGTAGAATACATTGGTTGGGTTGGGAGAACTTGTGGTGTACACTCTATAGAGTGGGCCACCTCCCAAACCCTATAGGTTAGGGTTCTCTCTTGTTGGAACTTCACTTCTTTGTAACCACTTTGGTTCTAGCATGGTTCATGCCCAAGTTGGCTCCTAAGATTCCTAGGCTTCAGGAGGAGGTTCTAAGACTACTGTAGTTTCCGCTAGTAGCTTAGACCATTCTAACATGGCATCAGAGCGAGGTTGGCCTAGCAATCTGTTGGAATAGGAGCTACTCAAGAAATTTGATCATAACACCTTGGTGGAAGCTAAATAGCTTCCATCCTTCCCGAAGGGCTGCCAAAAGTGCACCGTGGCGGACTCTGGACGTGGGAGGGGAGGAGGAGAGAAGAAAACTGCTGGAAATCGTGTGGATCCGTTGGGGAGGACGAGAAGAGCGACATCCATTAACGGAGGCGCTCAGTCAACTTTGGCCGATCAAGGCGTGCAGCATACCATTGGAAAGGCCTCAGCACGATCTACAACAATTGCCTCGGGGTCGTTACCAATCGACGAGCGGATCGGACGCAATTCGCGAAATACAGTCGGCGGACGAATTGGAAAACCGCGAATCGGGGAAGATTTAAAGCGCGGAAAAACGATTGGAGGGCAGACACCGACAGAGGAGGCTAGGGCGCATCCAACAAGCCAAAAATCGGGAGAAACGGTCGAGTCTTCGTCGACGGGAAATCGGCCAACTTCGACGAGTTTAAGCGGCCAGCTCGGACGCGGGATCCAAGAGCGCGATACATCATCGGAACGGTCTCGGAGCAAGGATTCATCTGAGCTAAACGGCTCATCATTCGGACGTTCGAACACGGAGTTACGCTCTAATAACCAAGAGGGTGTGAATCTGCCCGCATCAACTTCACCGTCACCGCCGTTGCCTCCACCACCACCTCAACGTCAATCTTCAGTGCTCCTGCCGCAAATGGATCATGACTCAGGCGAAGGGAAGCTGGAGAGTGCGCCAAAGTTCGACGGGAGCGACTATTGGACTTGGAGCTTCCGATTCGAGCAATGGGCAGAGGCACACGATCTATGGGGGTACTTTGATGGTTCGGAGGAGCGGCCTGCATCGGGTGACGCACGGCTAAAGTGGGAGAGGAGAAATCAAAAGGCATTTGCCCAATTCTGCAATGCCTTGGTGCCAGATGAGTTGATTCGCTTGGTACGGGAGTTCGGCGGCAAGACCGAGTTTGGAAACGCACCTGTTGATGGCGGAGCAAGAGCGGTCACCCGAGTTCCTGCAGGCACAGCAGCGGCATACACACGAGTGAAGGAATTCTACCTTCAGCGTGGATTGTGTAACCGGATGGCACTCTCAGAGGAACTCTCTTCCTTGAAGATGAAAGAAGGGGAGGGAGTGGCTGCATACTGGGCGCGTGCCGAGGAATTGAGGTCCAAGTACTTGGCTGCAGGAGGGAAGGAGGAGGTTGAGGAGTGGATGATGAGGGTACTCAAAGGACTACCTCCTCACTTTGAGATGCTGAAGGTAGTGCTGAACAACCAATCACCATCGCTTACTAAGGATCGGCTGCTTACCTCCTTGAGGAGCGAGGAGATGCGGATTGGTGTCGCACCAATATCGGATGGTGTAGCCACTTTTGGAGCGGGTACGAAAGTGGGCAGCAGCGGCAGGGGAAATGGGGACAAGGGCGGAAAGCATGGAGGCAGCGGTAGCAGCAGTGACACCAACTCGGGTAGATGGGGTCAAGGAAAAGGCAAAGCGGGAGTGCTTGATTTCCCCTGGGGGTCCAAGGGCATGGCTCCTCGGGGGTTGTGTCATGGCTGTTGGGATGAGGGACATGCATGGCAGCGATGTCCTCATCGACCTAAGGGAGGCATTCCGGCATTCTTAAAGCGGGGGGGTCGTGGATCCAACGGCAAGGCACAGGTGGCGGATGAGGAGGAGCAGGATGACAAGGCAGAGGCAGTGGTTGGAGAGGCAGTTGCAGCAGTGGGAGAGGAGCAGCCGCGAGAGGGGTGGTGGATTGACAGTGGGGCCAGCCACAACTTTACTCCTTATGCATCGGACTTCAAAAGTAAGCTTCAGCCACCAGAGGTTCGGGGAGTTAGATTGGGAGATGGACGGGTGGTGAAAGCTGTTGGCATGGGTGAGGTGCCAGTGGTTGGTGCTGGAGGTCAGCTGCTGAGGATTCAAAAGGGTCACCTTGTGCCTGAGATGCACACGCGTCTGCTATCAGTCCCACACCTCATCTCTCGAGATGTCATTGTCACATTCAAGGGCAAGAAATGTGTTCTTAAACGGGGGGAGAGGGTGTTGGCGATTGGAGAAAAGGAGAGGGGCAGGGACCATGGATTGGTGCGGATGTCTCTTCCTCTTGCTCGGGGCACACAAGGCAGTGCTCTTGCAGCTGGGTCCTCCTCCTCATTTTCCCCATTGACCCTTGCTCATCGCCGCCTTGGTCACACTGCCCCCACAACATTGCAACAGATGGCTCGGGGGAACACTGTACTGGGCTTGGAGATCGGGGGGGGGGAGCACTGATTGCTCCCCATGTGAACCTTGCTTATTGGGAAAGTCGGCTCGGAAGCCGTTTCCCCACGAGGCGTCTCGGGCACTTGGGCCTTTGGATGAGGTCCACATAGATTTGTGGGGGACAGTGCGCACACCGTCACTGGGAGGAGCGGTGTATGTCCTCAGTCTCATTGACGACTTCACCAGACGAGTTTGGTCGTTCCCACTCCCCAACAAGGAATTGGCCATAGTCGCAAAAGTTCTTCGCCAGTGGCATAAGGACGTGGAGTTGGAGTGTGGGCGGAAGCTGAAGGCTGTTCGCTCCGACAGGGGTGGCGAGTTCTTGGGGGACGCTGTGAAAGCATGGAAAGCGGAGTTTGGCATCAAAACCCAATTGAGTGTCGCAGATACACCGCAACAGAATGGGGTCGTGGAGAGGTGGCACAGGACAATGGCAGAGGGGATTCGCACATTGTTGGTCGACAGTGGTCTCCCTGCTCGCTTGTGGGGTGAAGCATTGATGTGGGTCGTGTGGGTTAAGAATAGGGTCACCCACAGTGCTTTGCCTGCCTCCATCACACCAATGGAGGCGTGGTCCGGCCAGAAGCCGCATGTGGGCATGGCTCGGATTTGGGGTTGCATGGGGAGTGTCATGCTGCATGGGCATGAGAAGGGTGGCAAGCTTGATGCAAGGGCTGTCATGTGTGTCTGTGTTGGAGTGGACATGGAGAGCAAGGGTTGGCGCATGCTGGACCCTTCTCTCATGCGCATTCGCATTGCTCGTGATGTTGATTTTCTTGAGAATGTGATGTGGAAGGATTGGGACAAGGCAAAGGGATTTGGGGAGCTTCTGCAGGATGCAGCTGCGATTTCCCAACTCCTCCCTCTTCCACTCTCGCCACCCTCAGCACCGGCTGACGACGTTGAGATGCCACCTTCATCACTGCCACCGGCACCGCTGAGTGTGTCGGTGCAGCAGCAGCCCACCCCTCTGCAGCAGCTCAGTGGCCCCTCGGTCATTCAGCGGAGATCCGCTACACAGGCTACTTCCTCTTCCTCCTCCTCTGGTCAGCGCTCTGTCCCTCTCTCTACGGGTGCCCCTCCGTCACCAGCGACTACCTCCCCACCACCGGTTACGGGTTTGCAGGTGCTTGGTACCCAGTCTGGTACAGGTGGTGAGGAGGTAGGGGGGGATGCTGGTGTGGTTGAGGGCATGCTGTGTTTGGCCAGGGAGGTGGAAGGTGTTGCACTGGCAGGTTTGAGCACCGGTGATGTCCCACGCACACTCGCTGAGGCCTTGCGTGGCCCTGAGGGCCCTGCATGGAAGGCAGGCGCTGAGAAGGAGGTAAATGCAATGCGCACTATGGGTGTATAGGATCCAGAGCCGGTCGACTTACCTCCAGGTAAGAAGGCCATTGGGGTCAGGTACGTTTTCCGCAGGAAAACTGACAAGGAGGATAAGGTGGTACAGCACAAGGTTCGCCTTGTTGCTAAGGGGTACACTCAGGAGCCCGAGAAGGACTATGATCAGGTATTTGCCCCTGTGGGCAAGCTCACCTCAGGTCGGGTGCTTCTTGCAGAAGCCGCGGTAAAAGGGTGGCATGTACAATAGGAGGATGTTGATCATGCTTACCTCAATGCAGTCCTTCAAGAGGAGGTGTATGTGAGGCAACTTGAGGGATTTGATGATGGTACAGGTAGGGTGTATCGATTGCGCAAAGCTCTCTATGGGCTCAAGCAAGCGCCTCGTGCTTGGAATGAGGAGATTGGTACCACCCTGATTGCAGCAGGGTTTGACCGCACTGCATGTGATGAGGCTCTGTACATCAGGTTTGTGGATGAAGAGCCAGTGTATGTATTGGTGTATGTGGATGACCTCTTGCTTGTGTCTCCACGCTTGGAGCTGATCGGTCAGGTCAAGGAGGTGCTTGCTCAGAGGTACCAGATGAAGGATCTAGGTGAGGTATCCACGTACCTTGGTGTGGAGGTTCGCAGGTCGGTCAAGGATGGGTGGTTGGAGATTGGTCAGGAGAAGTATGTCCGTGGTCTCCAGGGAAGGTTTGGTGATCTGCTGAAGGAGACCCATAGGGTGCATACTCCAATGTCACCCAATGATCTCTCTAAGATCAGGAATGGTACTTGGTCGACTGAGGAAGGTGTTGCAGCTGATGTCAAGGTGTACCAGAGTCTCATTGGCAGCTTGATGTATGCTGCTGTGACCACCCGTCCTGACATGTCTTTCACTGTCAACACCCTTGCACAGTCCTGCGTGGCACCAAGACGCATTCACATGCGCGCTGCACTGAGAGCATTCAGGTACTTGGTCGACACAGCTGATCGTGTCATCAGGTATGAGCGCCAAGGTGGTGAGCAGGTTGTTGGGTACACATACTCGGATTGGGGTGGTGAGACTGATGGCAAGAGTCGTTGTGCCTACATCTTTAAGCTGGGAGGAGGAGCAATCAGCTGGTATAGCAAAAAGCAAGACATTGTTGCAGCAAGCGTTTCTGAAGCTGAGTACAAAGCTCTATCGGAGGGGGCCAAGGAGGCCATTTGGTTGAGGAGTTTGTTGGCAGAGATGCATGTGGGGGATGGGGGGGCTATTCCATTGCTCTGTGATAATGAGGCTGCTGTCTCCCTTGCCCACAATCCCGTTCTCCATCAGCGCACCAAGCACATTAAGGTGGCATGGCACTTTGTACGGGATGCGGTGCGCCAGCAGGAGGTCGAGGTGCACTCAGTACGCTCCCACCTCCAGGATGCCGACATGCTCACCAAAGCTCTTCCAAGCTTGCAGCTGCATGAGAACCTGGAGCGCATCGGCATGCGAGTGATGGCTGCGAAGGCCAGGGCTTCATTCGCTGGAGGGGTTGTGTTTTGATTTATGGGTGAACTTTAAGGTTAATTCGGGTTGCTCCAATAAACATATGTAGTGATACATCTACACTATAGTAGTGTAGAATACATTGGTTGGGTTGGGAGAACTTGTGGTGTACATTCTATAGAGTGGGCCACCTCCCAAACCCTATAGGTTAGGGTTCTCTCTTGTTGGAACTTCACTTCTTTGTAACCACTTTGGTTCTAGCATGGTTCATGCCCAAGTTGGCTCCTACGATTCCTAGGCTTTAGGAGGAGGTTCTAAGACTACTGTAGCTTCCGCTAGTAGCTTAGACCATTATAACACAGTCAATCGAAGAAACACAGTAAGCTCAGGGTGGATCACAATGTCACCACACAGTCCAAGCACAAGCAATCGGCCACAAGGCCAGTTCAAGAAATCTTAAGTATATATAAATGCAAGTACAAGCAACAAAAAGAAATACAACAACAATCGAGGGTCTGCCTCAACAAAGCCTAACTGCAGACAGAACCTGTGGTGGTTACAAGGCGGAAGTGTGAGATAATTGACGAAAGAATGAATGAACTAGGAATGGGATGGGTACAAGTAGAAAACACAAAAGTGTTGTACCCTCTAAGAACTACCCCACTACAGCCTAAATAGACTATAGCAGATATAAGTTTGACACACCCCCATAGGCAAAGTGGGGGAGAACAAGAGGTCACAAGACCAGTCAAGAAAAGCAAAGCAAGCTCAGGGTGGATCACAAAGTCACCACACAGTCTGAGCACAAGCAAAGGGCCATAAGGCCAGTTCACATGCAGAGTTATATAAAGGAAAGCAAACAGTACAGTGAACACAACCTAGCAAGTGTAAGCATGCAGGTATAAGTATATAGAGTACAGTACAAGCAGAGTCAAGAAGTCAACAAGTGAGGCACAGTAGGTACAAGGCCTAACACAGTACAGAAACGCTAATGATCACAAGGCTGAAGTGCCTTGGTGAAAACATCAGCAGTGTTGGCCTGAGAGGCCACGTAAGCAAGACGAAGCTGGCCACGCTGCAACTCTCGAGCAAGGAAGTAGCGAAGAGCAATGTGCTTCGTTCTGTGCTCCAGTCTGTGCTCCTGACACAAGGCAAGCATGGCCTTGTTGTCGACGTACAGAACTGGAGGAGAACGAGGCGCCTCTCCCAAGTCGGTCAGCAGGTAGGTGAGCCAGTGTAGCTCCTGTGCAGCCATGGCCCCAGCGTAGATCTCAGCCTCACAACTGGAGCTGAGAACAGAAGAAGAGCGGGTAGACCGCCAGGAGACAGAACCGGAGCCAAGGCTGAAGGTGTAACCCTGTGACGACCGCTGCGTAGCCAAGTCGTCAACCCAGGAGGCGTCAGCGTGACCAGTGAGGACAACTCGAGCCCGTCCTCCAAGCACGAGCCCCATGCCCGATGTACTGCACAAGTATCGCAACACCCTCTTTGCAGCATCCCAGTGCACCTTTCGGTGCCTGCCGGGAGCCACGTAGCGAGCCAGAAGGCTGAGAGGGTATGCGAGGTCAGGTCGTGTGCAAGTCATCAGGTACATGAGGCAGCCCACAAGCTCTGGATACGGGCCACTCGGCTCTACGGACTCGTCCGAAGGTGGAGCTGAGAGCGAGTGACCGGTAGGCAGAGGAGTGGACTGTGGCGAGGAGTAGGTGAAGCCGAAGCGCTGAAGGACTTGCTGCACCATGTGTGACCGAGTCAAGGTAATGGTGCGCTGTGCTCTGTCCCGGGTGATCCGCAAGCCAAGATAGCTTGTCAGCTCACCCAGGTCTGTGCACGTGTGTCTCTTCTGCAGCTCGGACTTCACGTGGGCGAGTGCCTCCGTGTCAGCAGTAGCAAAGACAAGGTCGTCTACGTACACAAGAACGTAGAACGGCGGCAGAGTAGCGTCAGTGCGTAGAAACAGAGAAGGGTCAGCACTGAAAGGAGCAAAACCAAGAGCAGCAAGAGTCGTCCTAAGCGTGTCGTGCCACTCACGGGGCGCCTGGCGGAGACCGTAGACTGGCCGCCGGAGGCTCCACTGGGTACCAGCAGGAAACGACCCAGTGAAGCCAGGTGGGCGGCGCAGCCAGATCTCCTCGTGCGGGCTGCCCTGTAGGAAGGCTGTGCTGAAGTCAAGCGAGTGGAGCTCGTATTCACGTTGAGCAGCAACGTGCAGCAGTACCCGAAGAGTGGTCATCTTCGGGGTAGGGGAGAAGGTCTGAAAGAAGTCAACTCCCTGTCGCTGACTGAAGCCACGTGCAACGTAACGCGCCTTGAAGGCAGGCGGAGAACCCGGCGGCCGCTTCACCCTGAAGATCCACATGCCACTGACGATGTTCGCCCCTGGTGGGGGAACCTCGTCTACGTAGGTGCCTGTGGACTTCCAGGAAGCCATCTCTGCGTCCATGACTCCATGGCCCAATGGATAAGGCGCTGGTCTACGGAACCAGAGATTCTGGGTTCGATCCCCAGTGGAGTCGTTCGGTGGCTAGCAAAGGTATCCTACACAAAAGAATTGATTTGAGGTCTTCACGGGTTTTTTGTGGCAGGACTTGCGGTTGAACACGGTTGTATACAATGTAAAGCGGCTAGTTTTCTTCACCTCTTTTAACCGCTGCACGTCGGCCCGAACAGTGTCGCACAAACTGTAAACGAAGGAAGTTTCATTAATCCCAAATGCGGTCCATCCTCTCCAACGGAAGTATTTGTGTTTTGCATGGGTCCTGGAAGACGGGATTCATGGCTTCAAAGTCAATTTTCCCTTGACCATCTCACATCCACTCCAACCATTACAGTACCAGTTTTTGCGTGGGCTCCGAATACGCGATTCATCCTATTAGCGTCAGCTTTCTCTTGACTCATCTCCCACGAAATAATCGTTATTGTCCATACGCGATATCGAGTCTGCACGCGGCCTACGAAAACGGCCAATGGCGGCCGAGCCCCGATAGCATCCAAAGGAACGCGGCGGCGTCTCCCAAAAACGCGCTCTCTGTCTCAGAGTATAGCGGAATTGTGGATTAGGTCAAAGGGGAGGGGGTACAAGGAGAGTGTCGAGTGAAATTGTGTACCCCCTAGGACGTAACTCACTACAGACTAAATGCCTATACCAGTATAACATAACTTTGACACACCCCCATAGCCTAAGTGAGGGGCATTAAAACGAGCAAGACAAGATCAGTCTGTTGGAATTAAGGTTAATTAGGGTTGCTCCAATAAACATATGTAGTGATACATCTACACTATAGTAGTGTAGAATACATTGGTTGGGTTGGGAGAACTTGTGGTGTACACTCTATAGAGTGGGCCACCTCCCAAACCCTATAGGTTAGGGTTCTCTCTTGTTGGAACTTCACTTCTTTGTAACCACTTTGGTTCTAGCATGGTTCATGCCCAAGTTGGCTCCTAAGATTCCTAGGCTTCAGGAGGAGGTTCTAAGACTACTGTAGTTTCCGCTAGTAGCTTAGACCATTCTAACATGGCATCAGAGCGAGGTTGGCCTAGCAATCTGTTGGAATAGGAGCTACTCAAGAAATTTGATCATAACACCTTGGTGGAAGCTAAATAGCTTCCATCCTTCCCGAAGGGCTGCCAAAAGTGCACCGTGGCGGACTCTGGACGTGGGAGGGGAGGAGGAGAGAAGAAAACTGCTGGAAATCGTGTGGATCCGTTGGGGAGGACGAGAAGAGCGACATCCATTAACGGAGGCGCTCAGTCAACTTTGGCCGATCAAGGCGTGCAGCATACCATTGGAAAGGCCTCAGCACGATCTACAACAATTGCCTCGGGGTCGTTACCAATCGACGAGCGGATCGGACGCAATTCGCGAAATACAGTCGGCGGACGAATTGGAAAACCGCGAATCGGGGAAGATTTAAAGCGCGGAAAAACGATTGGAGGGCAGACACCGACAGAGGAGGCTAGGGCGCATCCAACAAGCCAAAAATCGGGAGAAACGGTCGAGTCTTCGTCGACGGGAAATCGGCCAACTTCGACGAGTTTAAGCGGCCAGCTCGGACGCGGGATCCAAGAGCGCGATACATCATCGGAACGGTCTCGGAGCAAGGATTCATCTGAGCTAAACGGCTCATCATTCGGACGTTCGAACACGGAGTTACGCTCTAATAACCAAGAGGGTGTGAATCTGCCCGCATCAACTTCACCGTCACCGCCGTTGCCTCCACCACCACCTCAACGTCAATCTTCAGTGCTCCTGCCGCAAATGGATCATGACTCAGGCGAAGGGAAGCTGGAGAGTGCGCCAAAGTTCGACGGGAGCGACTATTGGACTTGGAGCTTCCGATTCGAGCAATGGGCAGAGGCACACGATCTATGGGGGTACTTTGATGGTTCGGAGGAGCGGCCTGCATCGGGTGACGCACGGCTAAAGTGGGAGAGGAGAAATCAAAAGGCATTTGCCCAATTCTGCAATGCCTTGGTGCCAGATGAGTTGATTCGCTTGGTACGGGAGTTCGGCGGCAAGACCGAGTTTGGAAACGCACCTGTTGATGGCGGAGCAAGAGCGGTCACCCGAGTTCCTGCAGGCACAGCAGCGGCATACACACGAGTGAAGGAATTCTACCTTCAGCGTGGATTGTGTAACCGGATGGCACTCTCAGAGGAACTCTCTTCCTTGAAGATGAAAGAAGGGGAGGGAGTGGCTGCATACTGGGCGCGTGCCGAGGAATTGAGGTCCAAGTACTTGGCTGCAGGAGGGAAGGAGGAGGTTGAGGAGTGGATGATGAGGGTACTCAAAGGACTACCTCCTCACTTTGAGATGCTGAAGGTAGTGCTGAACAACCAATCACCATCGCTTACTAAGGATCGGCTGCTTACCTCCTTGAGGAGCGAGGAGATGCGGATTGGTGTCGCACCAAGATCGGATGGTGTAGCCACTTTTGGAGCGGGTACGAAAGTGGGCAGCAGCGGCAGGGGAAATGGGGACAAGGGCGGAAAGCATGGAGGCAGCGGTAGCAGCAGTGACACCAACTCGGGTAGATGGGGTCAAGGAAAAGGCAAAGCGGGAGTGCTTGATTTCCCCTGGGGGTCCAAGGGCATGGCTCCTCGGGGGTTGTGTCATGGCTGTTGGGATGAGGGACATGCATGGCAGCGATGTCCTCATCGACCTAAGGGAGGCATTCCGGCATTCTTAAAGCGGGGGGGTCGTGGATCCAACGGCAAGGCACAGGTGGCGGATGAGGAGGAGCAGGATGACAAGGCAGAGGCAGTGGTTGGAGAGGCAGTTGCAGCAGTGGGAGAGGAGCAGCCGCGAGAGGGGTGGTGGATTGACAGTGGGGCCAGCCACAACTTTACTCCTTATGCATCGGACTTCAAAAGTAAGCTTCAGCCACCAGAGGTTCGGGGAGTTAGATTGGGAGATGGACGGGTGGTGAAAGCTGTTGGCATGGGTGAGGTGCCAGTGGTTGGTGCTGGAGGTCAGCTGCTGAGGATTCAAAAGGGTCACCTTGTGCCTGAGATGCACACGCGTCTGCTATCAGTCCCACACCTCATCTCTCGAGATGTCATTGTCACATTCAAGGGCAAGTAATGTGTTCTTAAACGGGGGGAGAGGGTGTTGGCGATTGGAGAAAAGGAGAGGGGCAGGGACCATGGATTGGTGCGGATGTCTCTTCCTCTTGCTCGGGGCACACAAGGCAGTGCTCTTGCAGCTGGGTCCTCCTCCTCATTTTCCCCATTGACCCTTGCTCATCGCCGCCTTGGTCACACTGCCCCCACAACATTGCAACAGATGGCTCGGGGGAACACTGTACTGGGCTTGGAGATCGGGGGGGGGGGAGCACTGATTGCTCCCCATGTGAACCTTGCTTATTGGGAAAGTCGGCTCGGAAGCCGTTTCCCCACGAGGCGTCTCGGACACTTGGGCCTTTGGATGAGGTCCACATAGATTTGTGGGGGACAGTGCGCACACCGTCACTGGGAGGAGCGGTGTATGTCCTCAGTCTCATTGACGACTTCACCAGACGAGTTTGGTCGTTCCCACTCCCCAACAAGGAATTGGCCATAGTCGCAAAAGTTCTTCGCCAGTGGCATAAGGACGTGGAGTTGGAGTGTGGGCGGAAGCTGAAGGCTGTTCGCTCCGACAGGGGTGGCGAGTTCTTGGGGGACGCTGTGAAAGCATGGAAAGCGGAGTTTGGCATCAAAACCCAATTGAGTGTCGCAGATACACCGCAACAGAATGGGGTCGTGGAGAGGTGGCACAGGACAATGGCAGAGGGGATTCGCACATTGTTGGTCGACAGTGGTCTCCCTGCTCGCTTGTGGGGTGAAGCATTGATGTGGGTCGTGTGGGTTAAGAATAGGGTCACCCACAGTGCTTTGCCTGCCTCCATCACACCAATGGAGGCGTGGTCCGGCCAGAAGCCGCATGTGGGCATGGCTCGGATTTGGGGTTGCATGGGGAGTGTCATGCTGCATGGGCATGAGAAGGGTGGCAAGCTTGATGCAAGGGCTGTCATGTGTGTCTGTGTTGGAGTGGACATGGAGAGCAAGGGTTGGCGCATGCTGGACCCTTCTCTCATGCGCATTCGCATTGCTCGGGATGTTGATTTTCTTGAGAATGTGATGTGCAAGGATTGGGACAAGGCAAAGGGATTTGGGGAGCTTCTGCAGGATGCAGCTGCGATTTCCCAACTCCTCCCTCTTCCACTCTCGCCACCCTCAGCACCGGCTGACGACGTTGAGATGCCACCTTCATCACTGCCACCGGCACCGCTGAGTGTGTCGGTGCAGCAGCAGCCCACCCCTCTGCAGCAGCTCAGTGGCCCCTCGGTCATTCAGCGGAGATCCGCTACATAGGCTACTTCCTCTTCCTCCTCCTCTGGTCAGCGCTCTGTCCCTCTCTCTACGGGTGCCCCTCCGTCACCAGCGACTACCTCCCCACCATCGGTTACGGGTTTGCAGGTGCTTGGTACCCAGTCTGGTACAGGTGGTGAGGAGGTAGGGGGGGATGCTGGTGTGGTTGAGGGCATGCTGTGTTTGGCCAGGGAGGTGGAAGGTGTTGCACTGGCAGGTTTGAGCACCGGTGATGTCCCACGCACACTCGCTGAGGCCTTGCGTGGCCCTGAGGGCCCTGCATGGAAGGCAGGCGCTGAGAAGGAGGTAAATGCAATGCGCACTATGGGTGTATAGGATCCAGAGCCGGTCGACTTACCTCCAGGTAAGAAGGCCATTGGGGTCAGGTACGTTTTCCGCAGGAAAACTGACAAGGAGGATAAGGTGGTACAGCACAAGGTTCGCCTTGTTGCTAAGGGGTACACTCAGGAGCCCGAGAAGGACTATGATCAGGTATTTGCCCCTGTGGGCAAGCTCACCTCAGGTCGGGTGCTTCTTGCAGAAGCCGCGGTAAAAGGGTGGCATGTACAACAGGAGGATGTTGATCATGCTTACCTCAATGCAGTCCTTCAAGAGGAGGTGTATGTGAGGCAACTTGAGGGATTTGATGATGGTACAGGTAGGGTGTATCGCTTGCGCAAAGCTCTCTATGGGCTCAAGCAAGCGCCTCGTGCTTGGAATGAGGAGATTGGTACCACCCTGATTGCAGCAGGGTTTGACCGCACTGCATGTGATGAGGCTCTGTACATCAGGTTTGTGGATGAAGAGCCAGTGTATGTATTGGTGTATGTGGATGACCTCTTGCTTGTGTCTCCACGCTTGGAGCTGATCGGTCAGGTCAAGGAGGTGCTTGCTCAGAGGTACCAGATGAAGGATCTAGGTGAGGTATCCACGTACCTTGGTGTGGAGGTTCGCAGGTCGGTCAAGGATGGGTGGTTGGAGATTGGTCAGGAGAAGTATGTCCGTGGTCTCCAGGGAAGGTTTGGTGATCTGCTGAAGGAGACCCATAGGGTGCATACTCCAATGTCACCCAATGATCTCTCTAAGATCAGGAATGGTACTTGGTCGACTGAGGAAGGTGTTGCAGCTGATGTCAAGGTGTACCAGAGTCTCATTGGCAGCTTGATGTATGCTGCTGTGACCACCCGTCCTGACATGTCTTTCACTGTCAACACCCTTGCACAGTCCTGCGTGGCACCAAGACGCATTCACATGCGCGCTGCACTGAGAGCATTCAGGTACTTGGTCGACACAGCTGATCGTGTCATCAGGTATGAGCGCCAAGGTGGTGAGCAGGTTGTTGGGTACACATACTCGGATTGGGGTGGTGAGACTGATGGCAAGAGTCGTTCTGCCTACATCTTTAAGCTGGGAGGAGGAGCAATCAGCTGGTATAGCAAAAAGCAAGACATTGTTGCAGCAAGCGTTTCTGAAGCTGAGTACAAAGCTCTATCGGAGGGGGCCAAGGAGGCCATTTGGTTGAGGAGTTTGTTGGCAGAGATGCATGTGGGGGATGGGGGGGCTATTCCATTGCTCTGTGATAATGAGGCTGCTGTCTCCCTTGCCCACAATCCCGTTCTCCATCAGCGCACCAAGCACATTAAGGTGGCATGGCACTTTGTACGGGATGCGGTGCGCCAGCAGGAGGTCGAGGTGCACTCAGTACGCTCCCACCTCCAGGATGCCGACATGCTCACCAAAGCTCTTCCAAGCTTGCAGCTGCATGAGAACCTGGAGCGCATCGGCATGCGAGTGATGGCTGCGAAGGCCAGGGCTTCATTCGCTGGAGGGGTTGTGTTTTGATTTATGGGTGAACTTTAAGGTTAATTCGGGTTGCTCCAATAAACATATGTAGTGATACATCTACACTATAGTAGTGTAGAATACATTGGTTGGGTTAGGAGAACTTGTGGTGTACATTCTATAGAGTGGGCCACCTCCCAAACCCTATAGGTTAGGGTTCTCTCTTGTTGGAACTTCACTTCTTTGTAACCACTTTGGTTCTAGCATGGTTCATGCCCAAGTTGGCTCCTAAGATTCCTAGGCTTTAGGAGGAGGTTCTAAGACTACTGTAGCTTCCGCTAGTAGCTTAGACCATTATAACACAGTCAATCGAAGAAACACAGTAAGCTCAGGGTGGATCACAATGTCACCACACAGTCCAAGCACAAGCAATCGGCCACAAGGCCAGTTCAAGAAATCTTAAGTATATATAAATGCAAGTACAAGCAACAAAAAGAAATACAACAACAATCGAGGGTCTGCCTCAACAAAGCCTAACTGCAGACAGAACCTGTGGTGGTTACAAGGCGGAAGTGTGAGATAATTGACGAAAGAATGAATGAATTAGGAATGGGATGGGTACAAGTAGAAAACACAAAAGTGTTGTACCCTCTAAGAACTACCCCACTACAGCCTAAATAGAATATAGCAGATATAAGTTTGACACACCCCCATAGGCAAAGTGGGGGAGAACAAGAGGTCACAAGACCAGTCAAGAAAAGCAAAGCAAGCTCAGGGTGGATCACAAAGTCACCACACAGTCTGAGCACAAGCAAAGGGCCATAAGGCCAGTTCACATGCAGAGTTATATAAAGGAAAGCAAACAGTACAGTGAACACAACCTAGCAAGTGTAAGCATGCAGGTATAAGTATATAGAGTACAGTACAAGCAGAGTCAAGAAGTCAACAAGTGAGGCACAGTAGGTACAAGGCCTAACACAGTACAGAAACGCTAATGATCACAAGGCTGAAGTGCCTTGGTGAAAACATCAGCAGTGTTGGCCTGAGAGGCCACGTAAGCAAGACGAAGCTGGCCACGCTGCTGCAACTCTCGAGCAAGGAAGTAGCGAAGAGCAATGTGCTTCGTTCTGTGCTCCAGTCTGTGCTCCTGACACAAGGCAAGCATGGCCTTGTTGTCGACGTACAGAACTGGAGGAGAACGAGGCGCCTCTCCCAAGTCGGTCAGCAGGTAGGTGAGCCAGCGTAGCTCCTGTGCAGCCATGGCCCCAGCGTAGATCTCAGCCTCACAACTGGAGCTGAGAACAGAAGAAGAGCGGGTAGACCGCCAGGAGACAGAACCGGAGCCAAGGCTGAAGGTGTAACCCTGTGACGACCGCTGCGTAGCCAAGTCGTCAACCCAGGAGGCGTCAGCGTGACCAGTGAGGACAACTCGAGCCCGTCCTCCAAGCACGAGCCCCATGCCCGATGTACTGCGCAAGTATCGCAACACCCTCTTCGCAGCATCCCAGTGCACCTTTCGGTGCCTGCCGGGAGCCACGTAGCGAGCCAGAAGGCTGAGAGGGTATGCGAGGTCAGGTCGTGTGCAAGTCATCAGGTACATGAGGCAGCCCACAAGCTCTGGATACGGGCCACTCGGCTCTACGGACTCGTCCGAAGGTGGAGCTGAGAGCGAGTGACCGGTAGGCAGAGGAGTGGACTGTGGCGAGGAGTAGGTGAAGCCGAAGTGCTGAAGGACTTGCTGCACCATGTGTGACCGAGTCAAGGTAATGGTGCGCTGTGCTCTGTCCCGGGTGATCCGCAAGCCAAGATAGCTTGTCAGCTCACCCAGGTCTGTGCACGTGTGTCTCTTCTGCAGCTCGGACTTCACGTCGGCGAGTGCCTCCGTGTCAGCAGTAGCAAAGACAAGGTCGTCTACGTACACAAGAACATAGAACGGCGGCAGAGTAGCGTCAGTGCGTAGAAACAGAGAAGGGTCAGCAGTGGAAGGAGCAAAACCAAGAGCAGCAAGAGTCGTCCTGAGCGTGTCGTGCCACTCACGGGGCGCCTGGCGGAGACCGTAGACTGGCCGCCGGAGGCTCCACTGGGTACCAGCAGGAAACGACCCAGTGAAGCCAGGTGGGCGGCGCAGCCAGATCTCCTCGTGCGGGCTGCCCTGTAGGAAGGCTGTGCTGAAGTCAAGCGAGTGGAGCTCGTATTCACGTTGAGCAGCAACGTGCAGCAGTACCCGAAGAGTGGTCATCTTCGGGGTAGGGGAGAAGGTCTGAAAGAAGTCAACTCCCTGTCGCTGACTGAAGCCACGTGCAACGTAACGCGCCTTGAAGGCAGGCGGAGAACCCGGCGGCCGCTTCACCGTGAAGATCCACATGCCACTGATGATGTTCGCCCCTGGTGGGGGAACCTCGTCTACGTAGGTGCCTGTGGACTTCCAGGAAGCCATCTCTGTGTCCATGGCTACCTGCCACTGAGAGGAGTAGGGACCCTCTATCGCCTGTGCGTAAGAGCGCGGGGTCGGGATGTCTAGTGCATCCGGGTCTCCCTCAGGGGCAAGCAGCATGGACACGAGATGAGGTGAAGCAGCGGCAGAGCACTCAAGGTCCTCCTGTCTGTCCTCAAGGACGTCCGTGCCAAGAGCACACTCACCCCCGACGGACGGAGGACAGACAGACGCAGACTCAGCAACAAGACTAGCGGCGTAATCTAGGCGAGAGGATGCAGCAAAGTCAACGAGCTCAGTAACAAGAGCAGACGCAGCAGTGGACTCAAACAGAGGGTCAGTGACAGCAGTGGCCAGAAAGCGCGTGACAGTAGGACTAGCAGCACGAAGGGAGTCAGACGCCCGGTCCGGACCGTCAGGAAGAGAGGACGCAAGGGGAGAGGGCAGAGGGACACGCTGTGAAGCAGTAGAAGGATGCAGTGTCATAAAGTGAGTGCCTGGGACAGGAGGAAGACGCGGACGTGAAACACGACCAGCGCGAACACTGCGGACAGGCGACGCAGAACGAGACGCAGGCGACACAGGACGAGACTCAGGCTCACGACGCTCAGTAAGACCTCTAGTCGGACCAGAGTAAGGAGAAGGACCAGGCAGGGGAGAGGCCGGCTGTAACTGCGACTGGGACTGGACAGGCGGTGGACTCAGGAAAGGAGGAGGAGGACCAGGAGAAGGCGGGGAGCCAAGAACCTGCTGAAGGAGCGGAACGTAGTACGGCCGCGGCCGCGCA